GATTTTCTTATTATTCCTTCTACCCTGAAGATGAAGGCAATATGTTCCTCCGAAACATCGGTTAATACCACATCTACATGGTGCCACATCACAGAAGACTGCTTTCTTCATATTACATATAGTGTTTGTTAAAACATATCTACTGGACCAATTTAAAGTATCCAATGAAGTTTTATGACAGCATATTTATGGTGAATGTCCAGCAGATTGAGGGATAAGACACAACACAGAAACAGGAAATATGAGACTCTTATTGTTTTAATTTCATGCAAAAAGTACAGAAAACATATAAAACAGTACTGACAGACCATTTCAATGAATCGTTCCTGAAGGTATAATATGCTGTCTTGGATATCTGAAGCTCATACTGAAGTTCCTGATCACACAGAATAACCATTATTGCCAGCAAACAACTGCACTATAACAGCAAAACTTGAAAAAGACATATAGTTTAAATTTACTTACCACAGAAAACTACCATTATGGTATTCCCAAGTAATTAGCTTTGTGGTCAGAGAAACTGGAGTGATGTGAGAGGTGTAAGTAAAAGAAACAAGTTTTACAGTTCCCTCTATGCTTGGTTCAAATTCCTTATACAGCTGCAATGCTGAGTTTTGAACAGTAAATGGACAAACATGTTTTGACAACATAAAATTATGACCATGAGTCTCATAATAACTCCATACTTTTTTCAGTTAAATATGTAACATTACAAACAACAAACAAACAAACTCCATGGCCTGTAGTCTGCAAGTGAATTATACCAACCAAGGGACCGCCGCTTGTTGGCGAAGTTAGCGCCAACTTTAGTGGATAGAGGATGTTGCATGGTCAGTGCATCGGATCCCCACGGCTGTTAATCTCAGTTTTCTAGACCACAGTCACTATTTCCATTCAAGTAGCTCCTCAATTATCCTCAAGAGGCTGAGTGGACCCCATTCCAGACCCACTACTTCTAAGAATAGCTAGTAGTGAAGGGAGTCGAACCCAGGACAACTGGATCTGTAGCCAGGAACTCTGACCACTAGACCACAGAGGCGGTCTGTGTAACATTAGCCATAAAATTAATAACAGCAAATATTAAAAAATCAAGAAAAAACAACACAAGTGATTGTAGACCAATTTCATTTTGTTTAACTTCTTTGCTTACAGCAAACATTCACTAAAAACAAAGGTCAAATATTTTACCTTGTAGGCCCAAGTGCCCAGTCTCTTGCTTGAACAACTGTTGCAGTAGGCAAAGCTTGCACATGTGTCTGTTTACATTCACTAAGACTTCGGGAATGACGATGTGGGAATGGTGCTGCTGACACACTATGATGCCTTGGGTGAGGAAGGGTCCGAGACTTACGCTGCTGCTCAATGGTGTCATTAACATTACTTTCTGAAAGAAAAAAAGGTAATGTGTTCACTTGCTTAAGCAAGAGGTGGCATAATACTTAGAGCTGCCTCCTGCAATATGCAGTAAGTGTACACAGAAGTGGAGGACATGAATAGGCATAAGAAAGATATTTTTATGTATGGTAATAGTGTAGTTGGTTGAGGCATTATGCTACAAGCCGGAAGGTCATGGGTTTGAGTCCTGATGAGGTGGATTTTTTTCAACTGACCTGATATTTCTATCTGCACTATGGCCTTGTGGTCAACTCAGACTCTGATAGAAATGAGAACCAAGAATCTTAACGGGGGGTCAAAAGGGCAGATGGTGCGTAAGGCTCACAAACATACCACCATCTGTGAGCCGACTGTGTAGAGAAATTGTGGGATCCTCTACATCTCACAACCCCATGGGCCTTCATGGCCTGTTACAGGGGTAGCTTTCCTTTTTTGTGGTAAATCTGATTATCTTTTAATGAACATTGTGGGGGAAAAAAAGAAGCGCCAGAATTTGAAATTAAATTTTAGGAGTTTGATTTGTTTCATTCTGGTCCGCCACACTGACAATTACAAATATAAATCACTCCATCCAATGTGACCTGTAAGTTTTTTACTACATGAAAACTTAACACCCTTACATGTTTCGGTCTCAGTGGACAATCTTCAGAGGGCAAACATCACTACAAATAGGAAACCACGATCATATAAGTTGTTTAGACGTAAAGTATGTACACTTACATGCTACAACACAGCAGCCACGAGCAAAGCCTGGATGATATAAAGAACCTCCACATCAAGATAGCCAGGTGGCACATTATCTGCCCCATATAAGAGGGACGATGGGAGAACGAACACGAGCCTGCATGGTTTACGAATTTTAATTATTGACAATCAAAAAATTTTTTAATTAGAATCAAGTAATTTTATACAATTTTATAAAAAAACTTTACATTCCCAGGAAACTGCTGTTTGTAAAATGTGAAATGTCTATTTTGTATACTATGTATTGTAGCATATAAGTGTACGTACTTTATGTCTAAACAACTTATGTGATGGTGGTTTCCTATTTGTAGTGATGTTTGCCCTCTGAAGATGGTCTACAGAGACCGAAACATGTAAGGGTGTTAAGTTTTCATGTAGTAAAAAACTTACAGGTCACATTGGACGGAGTGATTTATATTTGTAAATTTTAGGAGGTGGAGCAAAAACTCTATTAACATACTTTGAAAATAAAGGGCTACAATGGTGGTTCAGATATGTACTGAGAACGGATAGAACAAGGATACTGAAAGGAATATTACAATTAAAATTCAAAACAAGAAGACCTATGCGATGACCCAGAACAAAATCCTGCCACCAGATACTGGAAAAGAAGAACAGGGAAGAAATGTCATGCAACAGAAGAAGAGTGGAGGGAAGAACAGATTCAAGACATTTCATCCATCAACTCATATAAAACTGAAATTATGCTCGAAGAAGAGATGATGATGTTAACTTTAAAATTATGATTATCCTTCTATATCTGTTTCTGCAAATTTGTTATCTCTTACCCTACATTTCTTTGCTTCTCTCTCTCTCTCTATTTTTTACAGGAAAGAAAGCTTACGGTATCTTCACGTTTATGTGTGTCGCTCTTAGTAACTTCTAATATGGGTGGTCAGACAAATGGGAATGATACCATAAGTCAAATCATTTATTACACAATAAAAAAAGATGACAAATAAATTAATAAATAAACAGTATCACATAAGAATGTTTCATGTCATGCTATTTTTCATATACACATTTAAGAACTTTCACTTTGGAAAATTGTTATTATTATTTATTTACTACAATAAGACACATCACACAAAATAACACACCACACTCAAACAAAACACACCACACAAAACTACACAAACAACAAAGGACACACACTAGCACACAGTAAATAAAATGAAAATACACTTACAACTACAATTATATAATGTCTGTAAAGAATTAATATGGCAATTTAACAGTTTAGAGTGGCTACTATTAACGTTTCTCTTACATACAATTCAACTGAATAGAGTAGTTACCATATTATTCCAAATACTCCATACACTTTCTAAAAACATAATGTGATAAAATATTGTGACAAGGCCAGCAATGGTAAGTGGATATTTGTAAGATTTGAGGCTTTCACGGCGGTGACTATGAAGAAAGCAGTCTTCTGGGATTTGGCACCGTGTATATGTGGTGTTAACTGACGTTTCGGAGGAACGTATTGTCACCATCTTCAGGGTAGAAGAAAAAATATAAGAAATCTGCAAGCGAAGAGACCGTGAGAACCAGTAAAAGCAGACTGGTGTTGGAAATATACACAGCTATGTGAGAGCAGAGAAGGAAGGGGGGAAGGGCAAGTATACAAGTGAAAACA